TCTGTCATCGGAGTTCGCCATCGTCGTCGTCGGACTCATCCACCATCAATAAAATGATTTTGGTTATACAAGAGAACTAGTGACAATTAATTATGTTAATTAATTAAATTAGTCCTATTTAAGGAAAATCAGACATATGATCATACTCTGAGAAAAATGCTACTTCGTATATTTTAGTCATACCATGAGTAATTTCCTCTGTATAAAATGATAAGAAACAATTAAATAAATAAATGAAACAAATGTAATTCATCTAGCAACGTAGATTCTACAAGAATAAATGAAGAATAAGAATCCAAATTTATATTTATTAAAAAGAAAACTCAAAATTTCGAGAATGTTCAACAATCTCGATCTCTTTATGCTCAATTGTTATATTACAAAACTCAATGAGTAAGAAGTATATTACACAAACGTTACATTCATTGCTGCATGTGGTACAAGTATATGTGCAATCATGTTTTTCTTCTTAATAATTACTTTTCCTTTCATTTTTAGCTTGTTAAATTTTGTATACTTATTTATAGTTAAATATTTATTAATTTGAAATTATATTTTTATGTGTTATCGATTTAATGATGAAACACAGTAATAGTTAAAATGTTTTTTTTCTTAATGGTCAACCGACAACGTACCAGAATTGCACCAATGTAATACTATCAATTCTTATATCAGTTCTTGAAAAAACTTCTAGAACCAAATCGATGTGGGATTAACGGTTCTTCAAATGGTTCTTAATTTTGTTTAAAAAACTGAACCGATTTCACCCCTACAATTTTCTTTGTACGATGACATATAAATCACTTTTTAATTTTTTAAGTTTATCTTGGGTATCAATATTAATGTAGAATCTCCTTGTTCAACTTTATTTATCGTAAAATGATAAAAAAATATTCAAATCTTGTATATTGAGATCATACAAAAAAAACTTGCATATTAAAACCATCCCGATACCCACCTCCCGACCATCGATACTAGTCAGGATTTGTTGGCCGTGTTGTGATCCGTGATAAATAATTAACCAAATTTGTAACTAGATCTATGTGTATTTGTGACGAGTAGAAGACAACATAAAAATCCACGGAAATCTTTGTTGATGAGAAAAGACAATTGCATAGAATTATTGAACTAAGAATGGATTAAAAGTCTATGAAAATCCATAATTTTAGAAGTCAATAAGAATGAACGAAAATTTGAATACGCCTAGACTTTTATTGACTTTTAAAAGTTTACATTGAATACACTTAAACTTCTATGGACTTTCAAAAGTTTACATTGAATACACTTGACTTTTAAAATCCATGGATTTTAATTTTTTCCCACTAATTCCTAATACAATATACCCCTTACGTGTCTACTTTTAAGATTGAGCCTATAATTATTGTATCATTTAATGAATTGAAAGTATTCTACTTGAAATTTCTTATCAGGAATACTAAATATATTTATACGCTTTCAGGAGAATTTAAAATAACATGAAATAGATTTTTAAATAACATAACATAGATTAACTAGGAAGCGTATATAGTACCACCGGTTGTACGGTGCTCACCGTACAGCCGGTGGCATTTTTGTAATTTATATGAAATTCGTGTCTCGTACTAAATGAGTATTAAACCACGCCTAGTGAGTAAGTGACATATTTTATTGAGCATTAGAAGCATAACATTGAGCATCGTGTTCTCTGCTTAATCTCTTTGAATTTACTTTCTTTTCCTTATTTTTTTCTTTATAAAAACTTATTAAATTATATCTATAATCATCTCTCATGAATTCCAGTATGCGAATTTAATGCAATATGATACTTTTGAAATATACATTGTTATAAATTTAATGCGAATTTATGTCATATTACAAATGAGCATAACATGAATATCCGGTGAGCATACATAACTTATAAAATCAGAATTGATATGAAAATCATAAGTACTTTCAATTGAACATCAAGACATTTTTATTGAGTATCAACTTAAAAAGTATCACCAATGATTTTCATTATGCGATTGTGATGACCATCGAGTCTGTTCTTTTTAAATGAGCATAAAATAACACCAAATGAGCATATGTAACTTACAAAATGAGTATCAAAAAATTTAAAAGTCCATTTATGTATGCTCATTCATTTTGGCCTTATACTCATTTGAGTTTAACATTAGTATGACACGTTTGAAATGAGTATAAAGAGGTACCAAATGAGCATTCATAACTCACAAAATGAGTATAAAAAATTCAAAAGATCATTTGTGTATGTTCATTCATTTTCGGTTGTATACTCATTTGAGTTTTACATAAAACTCATTTTTAATATGCTCAATATTCATTTGTGTATGTTCATTCTTTTTAAGCTTATACTTATTTGAGTTTAATATAAACTCATTTCAGATTCGTCATGAACTCAAATCTCCTAAATCATCTTTCAATATGAACTCTGTTTTCTTCTCACAGTATTACGAAAAACAAAAGCTCACTATAAATCTTTATTTTACTCAAATATTCTTCGTGTATACTCATGTATTTATAATAACATAAATAAGCCCCATCCATGTATAGGCAGTATAGCCCGTACATCAACGTCGAAGTCCAAAAATCTCCACTAGCTTAGCAATTGGAAACCAATTTTCCACTCAATTGGATCAATACCAAATTCCTAAAATCTACAGGAGCGTAGCAATTGGAAAGGAGCGTAGCAATTGGAAATCAACCTTGTCTTGCGAGGCAGTCAGCAAGAGACTCACGCACGCACGTAACCAGAGACTACGTCGCACTCCATAGTCAGCATAGTGCGGAAGTCAGAAGAAGAAGTTCGATGGCGAGAACAACCTGTCAAACGCACACAAGCGAATCCCAGATGACGATGAGATGCACAATCGGTGATGATAGATGAAGACGGTGCAGAAGCCAGGCTGCAAGATATCACAAAAATACACGGCTGTACCGTGCGTACGGTACAACCGGTTGTAGGATGTAATTTACGGATTAACTAAGTAACTAACTCATGCTAGTGAGCATTCAAATTTAGATAAAACGCTAATACTATCACCTATTCTACATCTATATACACACACAATATCCTCATTAATATGACAATTATAAATTTTAACGGGTAATTTACTAAAATTATAGAACTTTTATCAATTCAAATAATTGAATACCTATAATACAACATTTTTTTAAACACCAGTTAATGCAAGAAAGGGATAGTTATAATGAATACTAAAATTTAGGATTGATAAAATATGGTATGCATAAATAATAAATTGTGGCTAAAATAATTTATAAAATTTCTTTTGATATTTCAATGCTTATTGATGTGAGTGAATTTTACACTTAGGTTAAATTATAGATTTGTTCATGAGATTTAAAACATATTAGTTTTGAAATTTTATTATTGATTCAAATACTGTATTTACATTCCATCTTAAAGCTATTAAAAGCCTGTTTGGCAACTAATAATTTCAACTTATCAGTCATTTAAGATTAGTTTATGATGTAAAATGAAGGGATTTTGCGCATAGAATTATATATTAATCAATGTAAGTGAATTATAAGTTACTTTGTAACTGAATTGGTTTGAAATTATTATAGAAAATCAGCATAACCATTTCCATAAGATTTTTTTTCCTTTATTAATACTCCGTATAAACAAATAATAATATAACATGTCCACAAATCAGGAAACTAATGAAGTCGACTGGTTTAACTAAATTAGTTTCAATAGATTGGATCCATTTAACGGATTTCAATGTTAACAAATGAGTACTAAAAATACCACACTATATATATAATCCTATGTTCAAAAAACCGACGGACCCGATTGGGTCGACCCAAAACCTGATGACCCGGACCAAAATCCGGAATGGTCGAAAACAAGAAAAACCCGGCCGACCCAGACAAACTCAGAAAATCCCGATTTTGTTTGTTTTCCAAAAAAGTAAATATTTTTAAAATTTCAAAGCATTTTTAACCTATAAAATCTCAATTTTAATACTTAAAAAGAGCTGTCAAAAAAAAAAATACTTAAAAAGAAAATTATGCAATAAGAATAAAATCATGTCAAATTATATAATACAAAATAACAAACACGGAGTATCATCATATATTATTATATTTTAATAAGATCAAAATGGTATTTTGGAATTTTATGAGAATGTTTCAAATTAACCTTTTAATGTTTAGCAGGTATATCATTAGTTGATTTTTATAAAAGAACCATCTTTTATTTTAATTTTGTATAAAATTATATATTTATTATTATTATTATTTGAAATTATTATTAATTTTATTATTATATGATCGATGGTTTTATGGCGTTGACGAGTTGACCTGACCGAATGCCTCCCGGTCGAGTTTCTTAAACATCTATCATTATATAAAAGCAAAATGTTTGTGGGAATAGTGTTCCCCCCAAAATCTTTAGGATAGAAAGTGCATGACTGTAATTTACAATAATATCCCTGCTCAGGGGGATTGCACAATATTAATAGAAGATGGAAAATGTGAACAGTATCGATTTGATATTACATACTTGATTGACAATTCAATGAAAAGATATGTGGTGGCAATTTGCTCAAAGGAAAACAATGCCAGGGTGCTTTTTGTGATTGTAATGGCATCTTTTACTTTCCAAAGAAATTGGCAGCTGATATCTTTTTGGGCGGCTGGCCATATCAATATTACTGACATTACAACCGAGGAATCATTACAAGTTTGAGCCTGTGAGATCAATAAAGTATTCTCATTACTTCATGAGGTAAAATAAAATTATAAAACAAATGCTAAATTTTACAGCACACAACCTTAGACATAACCTATTTCCTAGATATTATTATTAGGCCTACAATGAAGAGTGTTTGACAGCTCATTGTGGATTTTTTTTTACTGAAAACATATACACACAAATATTATGTGTATAATTTGAATAAACAGTGCATCAAAGGTCTCCTATAAATAGACTCACTTGCACTCATATTCACCATTCAATTCTTCTTTCACTCCAACTAACTACTATATCCACTATAAAAATGGTTGGCATGTGGTCCTTAATAAGCGAGTTCCACCAATCTAAAACTACTTGGGCATTCAAAGCCCGAGCTGTTCGTGTCTATACCGTCCCTGCCCATGGCATTTACGGTGAATCTTTGCAGTGCATTTTCCATGACGCTGAGGTATTCACTTAACTGTCCAGATTGATTTCTAATACATTAAGTATGTTACTCTAATTACTAACAACTCTATATATAGGGAACAAAAATACATGCACACATTGCAAAATCAGAGGTTGCGAAGTTTGAGCACCTGTTTAGGGAAGGAAATGTTTATGCAATAAGAAAAGTCTTGGTGCTAGACAACTATATGAAGTTCAAGACAACAAGGAATGCTTTCAAGTTGTTATTCGTCAACCGAACTGATGCCTTTGAAATCTCTAACATTAATTTTCCAATGAGGATGTTTGACTTCACATCTATAGCTGCCTTAAAAGATGCTGAAGTTATAGACGAAACCTATGCCATAGGTGATTTTTTTAAAATGAAAATACATTTTCTTTTATTGAATGTTTAACCATACTTATTCATTAATTTATAATCACATATAAATTAATACATTAATTCATTCATAGATGTGATCGGCAAGGTAACTTCAATGTCAGACCCAAAGGACCTAACAAAGAATGGTAAACAAACGAGGTTGCTTGATCTTACCCTCGGTGATGCCAAGTACGTATTATGAATATATAAAAATAAACAGTTAGCTGTAATTTTCCTTTTTGACATGCTTATTATATTTGTAGTGGGAATACGATTGCCTGCACTCTCTGGGAGAACATGGTAGAAGAGTTCATGGATTTTCTTAAAACAAAACCGAAGTCAATCACTCTTATTCTTCAACGCTGCCGTGCTAAAAAATTCCAGGGTATGTTGTAAAATGAAATACGATATTCGATTGGTTTGTTCTTAACAGTGTATCTATTTAGGTCGGGTGGAGGTAACAAACATGTTCCATGTGACTAAGATGTTACTGAATAGCAACAGCGAGGAGTGTGCAGCTTTCAATTCCACGTAAGATTTTTTTTGGGGTTATCTTTGTTAACACAGAAAGCATTTCTGACATTAATCTATGCTATAATTAAATAACAGGTTCGGTCCAGATAATGATGACGGCGGGGATGCTCTAGCCTTAGCTACTTTTGTTACCCCTTCTTTTCAAGATGACCTAACTGCTGGAAAAGTTCAGTTGGTATCAATTGCAGATCTAATGAAAATGGAAGAGGTTGTTATATATCATACACTTTGTATTACAAAATTTCTTACCTTTTTTTTTAATTAAACGGTCGATCCATTTTATTAATTAAACCAAATAGCTTACAAAAGTGACGTTAATACAGATTACAAAGAAGAAAAAAAACAGAAAAAATACAAGAATACAAAATAAAGTGAAGGTGGGGGTGGACAATATGTTGACAAAGATGTGGGCCTGAATCAACCAAATAGGCCCAGGGAATAAAATTCCAACATAATGCCCCCAAAGGGAAAGAGCCGCCTCAAAAGAAAACAGGTTTGAGAGAAAGTGTCGAGAGAGTTCCATGAGAGAGGACTTATTCTGGTTTCATTCCATTTTCACGCCTCATTCCGGTAGCCGCAGAGGATCAACCGGTGTCTCTGAAAAACGAAGCTCCACGTTTGTCCTCGTAATAAGATTTCTTGGCTCTAGCCGGGAGTTGATCGAGCGTGAAAGATGTCATCACTTGTAGACGAAGTCCAAAATTAGCCAGGTGATGAGCACAGGAGTTAGTCTCTCTTGGTCTGTAACAAAAAGAGAGTCGATTTGCTAGCTGTGATTCATGAGTGGATTTCACCATCGGACGTAGAAAATCAGGTATTTTGGAAAACCCTTTAATCATTTGTATGCTTTTTTCTGAGTCGGATTGAACTATGAATGATCTGTAACCACGGTTTACCAATTCCTGTGACGAGGTGAGTATCGCCTGAAGCTCAGCTTGAAGAGGGCTAGAAGCTGTAATCGGGAAAGCAAGGGCATCTTTGAAGGTTCCACTGGTTTCACGGAGGATGGCCCCACCTGCGCTTTTATGTGAGAAGAAAGCTGCATCTGTGTTGAGGGTAAGACTCCTTGTATTTTCGTTTTTCCATCGCAAGATGATTGTTCTTTTGGGCTTGCTGAAAAGAGGCATCATCCCGTCTGAGTAGAGGTCTTCATCGAACTGAAAGTATTTCTTTGTTTGTCTGCTGTAAATCCAGTTCCTAGTATACTCCTTGATTGCCCGTACTGTGATCGCTTTTGAGAATCGTTTGTCTTCCCATGTACAAGCATTGTAATTTTTCCATATATGCCACACAATAATACCTGGCATGCACTGCCTGAGTACGTCTCGCGTGTTGTTCCTTTTTCCCCCTAGCCACCATAACATTAGGGTTTGCCTGAGCTCATGATGATCTGTAGTTCTGACCTGCAAAATGTGAGAAAAGTAGACCCAAATAGGTCTTATGTTAGGACAGTTAAATAAAACATGGTCTTGACTTTCACTTTGGGAATGGCAGAATGGGCACCGGGACACCAATTGTATTTTGAATCTTCTGAGGTTTTCTGGAAATGGGAGGCATCCATTAAGAATTTTCCAGATGAAAATCTTAATTTTTAAGGGTAGAGGAGGGTCCCATGTGTTAATAAAGCTGAAAGTAGTGGGGTGGTGTACTCGGGCTTGATTATAAGCACTTGAAACTGAGAATTGACCATCTTTTTCGGGGGTCCAGGAGATGGAGTTTTGTGTCTGTTGGACAAGGTCAGAATGTCTGTATGCCGTCCTACATATGATTTTCCAACAATTTGAGTCCTTTGTTTTGTATTCCATAGCCCCATTTCTGTGATACCTCTCATGCATGTAATCTGCCCAGATAGAATTATTCTCCATATATGACCACCACATTTTCATTTGCATTGCCTCCTGTATGTGAGATAAAGATCTAACATTGAGACCCCCTTCCTTTCCTGGTTTGCATATGCTATTCCAATTTTTCCAATGGTATTTAGGTTTATTCCCAGAAAAACCCCAAAAAAAATTGGACATCAATCTGTGAATAATATGAATAACCTTAACCGGGAAGTTACTGGTAGCCAAATGATGTAATGGAATAGATGAAAGAACGTGTTTAATGAGTATCAGTCTCCCACTTTGGCTTAGAAGTTTCTTTTTCCAGGATTGGAGTCTTCCTTCGAAGTTGCTAATCAGGTTGAGACAGTGGCCAATTTTGGTAGTCCCATGGTGGATAACAGCCCCCAGGTAGATGATTGGGAGGTTTGTGACTTTCATTCCAGTTGTACTGCCTAAGACCTTTTTCCGGGTTAAGTTCGTTCTTTTGCTAACAATCAGTTGGCTTTTATGCAGGTTAATGCATTGACCAGATGCAGGTTAATTCATTTCTTACCTTATTTGATAGATTATAGTCTGATTAGAAGTTACTATATACTTATAATAATAGAATGGAAAACACTGGATTTATGGAGAGATATTGACAATAGACAGCTACAGAGATTGGTACTACATATCTTGCAGAGGGTGCAGCAGAAAGGTGTGTCCTGAAGGTGACAATTTCAGTTGTGGTGTGTGCAACACCAAAGAAGTAGTTCTAAGGTGAGAACGTTTCCTTTTTCAGTTTTTTAAACTAACAGCCACATAGCATTTACAAAAAACTTTTCACATTTCAGGTACAAAATTAATGTTAGGGTGATGGATGAGACAGGTCATGCTTCTTTTGTGTTTTGGGACAAAGAATGCTTTACTTTGGTTGGAAAAACTGCAAGTACTTTTCATGAGGAGATTGAACAGGTTTTCTGGACGAGAGATAAAGTATTTATTGCTTACATATCTAATAGATCTATATATATTAATAAGTTTAAAAAATGGTGGACTGTACAGAAAAATGTTGGACCGTATTATTTTCCAGTCGAGATTGATGCTATGGTTGAAACTAAGGGGTTGTTTCGAGTGCAAACAAAGAAGGAAAACAAATACTACAAGGGTGTTCCTACTTTTAGTGTAATTGGAATGAATTGTGATCCAACTGTTATCGCTTTATACAAGTATAAAGGAAAAGCAGTTGAGGAAGAAGATGATGCAGTTGAGGAAGAAGATGATTTCACACTACTTAGGAAGGAGTTTTCTGTGTCTGAAGAAGTATGTGTACTTATCATTTTACCTGTATGGTTTACCTTTGTGTTTAAAATTAGATATTTAAATTCGATATTGATTTCAGGTCCTCATACCTGATGAGGAGGAGACCAGCCCCCTACTGTCAAAAGAAAAAAGGAAGGAACTTGTGGTGAACTACGAAGGCATCAAAAGGAAGCTGTTTGTTGAGCCCCCGCCTGTCAAGCCACCAAAGAAGCTGAAGAAGGTGAAAATGGAAAAGGAGTAACGATGTTTGAACAATGAAGAACTTTTTGCTAATGAAGAACTTCAAGAACAATGAAGAACTTTTTGCTAAAATGAAGCATATCATGTATGCAGTATTTTCTATGTTTTTCTGTTAGTGCATTAGCATTTCAGAAAAATGTTTGCTGCCTGGAATAACTTAGGGATAAGTTTAGGTTATGTTACAAACTTTTGGAGTGGGTTATTTTCTAGATAATCTATTTTGATCCCAAGTTTGTAATTTTTGGCATTTGTTGCCAAGTGTGATGTAACCTATTCGGAATGTAATTATATGTAAATTACGTTCTATTTCCTTGGCTTTATATATTACAACTTGACCAAACTTGATGACTAGCTACACTAAACATGTAAAAATATTTGATGACTGCATGTATGCAACAATGTATAGAGACAAGTTGGATTAAATATAAGCATTATAAAATTAAAACAAAAAGTTATATAATAGCTGCCAGGAAAACATTAGGCATTTGACCCTTTCAGCTTCAAGTCCATGTTAAAGTGAGCTACACAATGCTTTTAATATAATTATTCTCTTGACATCCACAAAATATATATATATATATATACCATCTCAATAAATGCAAGTGCATTGAATAAATACCACAAAATAAAGGAATGGATTTGCGTAAGTCATTTTTTGTGGTCAATATTCATCAACTATGCATGGGTGCATCACAAACCTTTGTACCATCGAAATTCATCAAGTAGATTTACAAAATTGTATTCATACCTTGGTATGATGAATGGTGGGATGATTCAAAACCATACTCTGTAAAATTATACATTAAGCTTCATATCATAAAATATAAAACAAAGTACATTTCCAATTGTATAAGCATACATTGCATAGCCATATATGCATTAAGTCCATCACTAATATATTTTAAGTAGATAAAGTGCATAATTGCATAATAAAGATATAATTTTATCCGTTTGAGATACTTTATGTGGAAATATCACACATAGTAGTCTAAATTTATTTTGAATTCAGTGAAGGACATTTGTTAACTTTAAATCGTATCATGATAACCCTAATACGATTTCATAATTAGATTATGAATAATATTTAATTTTAAAAAAATAAATATTAATAGTAATTAATATTATTAAATTATTATTATTAATTTTTAACATAGTTGGCTGATTTTTGTTATTAATATTATTATATTTAATTATATTTAATAAAAATATTTAATAATTTATAATATTTAAAAAATAGATAATAATTACATAATATTATATTTTAATTAAATATTAATGTTATTAATAATATTAATAATGATTAATAGTGTTAATAATTAATAATATTGGATTATTATTAATATTTAGTTATGAATAAATAAATATTAATAATAATTAATATTACTCAATGATTATTAATATTTAACGAGTCCTTATGAAGGAGAGGCTTTATAAATTCAAATATGTTTCATATTTGGCCTCATAAGTATAACTAATAATTAATAATAATGACAATAATAATAATGATTAATTATTATTTAAGTATAAAAAATTTAAAAAATTAATATTAAAAAAATATTAATTTTTAAGTACAAATAGATTTTTAAGTATAATATTAATTAATTAATTATTATTTAATTATAAAAAAATTAAGAAATTAATCTTTTTCATTTTTATTAAAAAATAAAAATTTGAAATGTCAACTACTATTACTGAATTAATATTAATATTTAACAGTATTAATACTTAAATTTATATTTATTAAACAATTTAAAAAATTAATTCTTTTATTATAAGTATATTATATGTTATTAGTAATGTATAAAATATTAAAAATAATTAATTATTTGTCCTGAGAATAATATTTTTCTTCTTCATAATTGACCTTATGAAGGAGTAATATTTAATTGTTATTAATGTTGAATGGCTATTAATATAAATAATATTAAATAAGAGTTCTGTTTATATTATTGAATAATATTATTTATTATTCACATACTCCGTATTATTAATTAAAAGTATATTGAAAGAACTATTATTATCATTGTTTAATTAGGTATTTATAATTTAAAAAGTGAAGTCCTTAAAATTTATTATTAATATTAATACTATTAATATATCTCTATTTGCAAAATAGAGATTTATTTTTGAAATATATTTAGTACATTTTGGATTTACGTTTTATATTTTAAACATATGTTGAAAACTAAAAAATCAAACGTATCTTAAAATGGTATACAGCTAAGGTATTCAGTTTACTGTTTGGTTAGATTTGGAAAAGCAGTTTTTGAGTTGTCATTATGAAAAGTCATCTTTTATAATCTTACTTTACCGGATGGGGTTGTGTGAAAAAACAGTAAGCATGCTGAAAGAGTACTCATTACCTGCTGTGTTTGTGTAAATTTAATTATGCAAAAAACTGACACCAATTTAAAATGGTTTAGGAGTGTATAATGTATATATACGACCAATGTATATAATACTCAAAATGGTTTAGCATGTAGTATTTGTGATATTAGTTAAATGTCAATAATATGCATATTTTTTAATATAGGACCAGGTACACTTCATTCAAACCCATAGTCTCCTTATACTGATAATAAATAGTAAATGTGATTAAATCGAAATAGCTCAAAAAGCATTCAGTGATACATACAATTCAATGAAGTTACGGAGTAATATAAAATATACGAGTAATATATAAGTGGAAAAGACTTTTTGACAAAAGATATGACAAGTAACAAAAGGATCTCACTATTATAAAATGAGCCGTTTTTGCAGAAGTCTGACATGACATGTAACCTTTTGGGTTCTATTTACTTAATCAGAACGTGTGCAAGTGCATGCTCTAATATCATTGGTAATACTTTTAGATTATGTGCAAATAGACAGCCAATGAGAAAATAAACAGCCAATAAGAAAAGTACAATAATTACATTGTGTTAGCCATTGAGTTTGATTTGACTCAGAAAACCCCATTCAACACATGTGATATGACATGTTAAAAAAGTGATTTTACTTTTAAAAAGAGAGCCGTCTTAGCAGGAAAGATCAGATTTGACATGTGAGGGTGTGGTCTCAATTTACTTGGAATAGCACATACAGAGTAGTAAAGATTCTACTATAAATAAAGCATTTACCCTCTCACATTGTCATGCCTTGCAGATCAATTGATAGCCATACCAAAGAAGTATTGCTTTGAAGTTTGTTGTGTACCTACATCAGGTGAATTTTGTAGAAAAATTTATGACTATTTATTATTGATCACAAGTGCATCTAATGATAACTAACTTTTGGTTAAACTTTTTTCATGGAACATTCACTTAAATAAATGTTACCTACTACTTTGTTTGAAAATATAACAAATAACACATACATACCCAGTTTCTATCCAACTAAATATCCCTTTTTTGTGAAATTTCAGGTTCTAACAGATGGGAACAACAAATGCATATTTGTTTTGTGGTGTTTGTGGAAGCCGTGAATGGGGACACCTGATCATCAAGTGTGCAGTGTGCTCAAATGCAGAACACCGGTACTGTATGAGGAAGGTCCTATTTCATGATGATGCATGGTTGTGTGATGAGTGTTTAAGTTATATTTATCCCATGGATGAACTGAATTCCTTTGGAATGATAACCGAAATTAAGCATGAAGTTGTTCAAATGGAGGATGACCAACCATTTATACCTCATGTTAAGGAAGAGGTTGTTGAAATGGTTGATGTCCAGCCATTTAGAACTAAGGTTAAAGAGGAAGTTGAAATGGCAGATATTGAGCCATTAACAACTCCTTTTGGGATGGCAGTAAGCCCACCTACTCCCAGGCGTTCTCCCCGTAAGAAAAAGCTTAACCAAAAGTATTTTTCGCAGGAGATGGTGGTAAACATGAACTTTAATTGGCTGACTGGGGAGAACGAAGATTGATCTCAAGGGCCTAATGAACTGAAATATCTACTACTCTTAGTTTTTTGATAAGGCGTGTTTCTGAAACAGCCTGTGCATAGCTTATGTTTTGGAATAACTTAAAGGGTGTGGCTTCTAATGTCTTTTGTCAATTTTCAGAACCCATTTCATGTATCATGTTTTGAAAATCTGTGTATGATGAGCCCTGAAGCTCCTGTTAACTATATGTTGTTTATTAATGCATGTATTGGTAATATTTGTGTATTCAAAAAGTTGATGTGTTACTTCATTCCTATGTGGCAAATTCCAGATAAAGAGAAACACGTGTCAAGGTCAAGTCCGTAACTATGCCTAAGCTCATTAAATCCACAACAGTAGGTCCAAAGAGAAGGCCTTTGTCAAACAATGCTTCCGGTAAATCTAATTTTACTGCTTGGTTGTAAATGAAGTATCAGTAACTCATATATATTCAATCAGATTTTAAAAGCGAGAATAAAAAATATACATAGTATAGGATTGTGCTTGTGACATGAAATATTAACTGATATTTGGTATGTCTGTCGGTGTGTATTAGTATAACTGATATAGTTAGGTGTAACATCTCAATGTACTTTAAGATAATGTATGTATTTTAGATAGAGAATAGTTTGGCTTTACAATTTAAAATATAGGGTGGACAATGTTTTTTAGGGACAACACTAATAATATAAAGTAGGTAAAAGATCAAGGCTTTGTAGCAGTAATAATAATATAAACCAACGTAAAGGATCAATGTTGCTACCCAATTAAAGAGTATCCTAGATTGCTCTCATTTGTTGTTGATGATGATAAGAGTAAAACTAGGGGAGAATTTACCCAATAGGCAGCCCTTCATTTCTGGTGTTAACTGGAACAACACTTCATAAGTCTCAAATTTGATCACCTAAAAAACCAAGAGTAAGTACCGAAATAACCATTTCTGTTGGGAGTATTTGTTAAGGTCTCCGGATCATAAGTTAGTGGAATTGATTATATAGATAGCAGATTACCAGAAATGCCCACAACAGATATGAATTATAGTATATAAAACATGCCGCATCACACAACACCTGCTATTTACATTCATCTTCTTCATTAAAACTTAAAACATGCGCTAGGCTTATGTTTTAAAAATAACTTCGGAATCATGAACTGTTTGATGGTTTAGGAAAATGAAAATAATATTTAATACACGTTGATTTGAAACACCTGTAATCTGTTTGAACAATTTCAATTACAATATCTTGGAATATGACATTGGAAATGACTTAGATTGGTAAGACTAATAAGAAATATTGTATTGGAATAGATTATATAGAAACCAGATTAGCATAAACTGTTAAGAGAAGATAAGAATGATAGAATATAGAAATTCCAATAGAAAAGAACACATGGTATTTAAACCGTTTTTCAATTACATATTAAAAGATGGATTCCGGGCTTGAGTTCTGAAATGAACTTAAAAGGAGGTAGGT